TGTCTTTAATGATTCTATGGGAATTCGGCACTGAGTAATTTAATATTCTGGTTAACTGAGAACTAGTCTGAAACTGCTTCCAAAATCCAGAATCTTAGATCTGGACAGGATCTTCAAGGTCATATCCTCCAACTTCCTATCCACTGCAAGGTCCCTTGAACCACATCCCTGACAAACAGTTATTCTGGCTCTGCCCGAACACAGCCAAGTGAACCAGGCCGGCCTTATCCCCTTCTACATGATATCCATGCCATTTTATTTTCTCTTTTGGGTCTAGATCTGCCATACCATCTGTATGGGAGAACTCCCAATGTGGACACTCCCTCCTTTGGTACAACTCAACAACCCATCTGTAACCTACAGTCTTAGAGAGTTGCCTGGGACCCTGAAAGGTTAAGTAACTTGACTGTGGTCACACAGCTGGGATGTGTTAGAAGTAGGACTTGAATCCAGATCCTTCTAATTTCAATGCTGACCTCCTATTCACTATATAAGATTTTGTAATCTGGATCCATGAACTTAGGTGTTTTTGTGAGTGGTGGGTTTCTTATATATTTTGATAACTACATTTCAATATAATTGGTTTTCTTTGTAATAGTGTATTTTTATTTTAGGCATTTAAAAACACGATTCACTGGATTGCCAAAGGGGCTCATGACACAAGAAAGGTGAAGACCCCCTGCACTATAAACATGCTGCATATATATTATATTATTACACAGATAAAATTGCCCTTCCTGCCTTAGCAATTATAGTAGTCATCTTGCTTTGCTTTACTAAGAGTATTGCAGAACCGCAGTTCTAATTCTAAACACAAATTCTCATTGTTCAGGACCACAGATGGAGATGGAGAAGGTGTAAATGATTGGGTAGAATGAATACTGAGATCAGAACAAACTCTAAGACACTATTGATTGAGGGGGGAAAGGTAGGGGGTACTCCATCTCTACTTTCAGTTGGTATTTTTGTCCTTTTCCTCTTCCTACTAAAGGCTAGTACAGCCCCTCATAGTTTGGTTAATTGAAGGTTTCATATGACTGGGTTCCACTTCATTGAGATTTGAGTATATATGGATTAAAAAGAGTAGCCATGTGGGCCTGTAAGAGAAAAACTTTGTGTTCCCTCTCCCCTCCCCCAACTTCTGTCTTTCTTTTGATATAGAACTAATGGGAAACAAGCCTCAGAATGAAAGGACACTTAGATCTTGAGGTGAGAAGGGCTTCTGTCCCTGGTAGTAAACAAGGCAGGAGGACTCCTGGGTAAATTTCAAAAACAAGCCCTTCCAATCAAATGGCCTTGGCCATCCTTTGGAAGGTCCTGAAGGGCAAAGGGCCTAAAGAACTCAGCTGAATGCTCCCTCTCTCTTCTGCCTTGGTGCATTCAGCTGGTATTGACTCAGAAACCAAGTGTTTCTGCTAATTAGCTCAGTGATCATTTCTGAGGGGGGCCTTCATGCCTTGGCATAAGGCCATTTTAAACTTCCTTTTTCACAAACTAGTGAAATTTACCTAGAGATGATAGCAAGACAACTAAATCCCCACTTCCGATATTCCTGTTCTAAAAGATGGCATTAAGATCAGCCCTAAGCATATGGCCAAGTACACTGAGTTGGTCTCGGACTTCCCTGGCCTCTCCATTCGTCCCCCTTTCCCTCCTTCAGCAGAACTCTCTGCCCTGACCCCCCACAGATGCCCAGTACCCTGATACTTTCTCCCCTGCCCACTTTCTAAACCTGGTCTTTAAAAAGGCCTGGAGGTTTGAGGGGGTTTGAGCCTCAGTCCTGGCATCTACTAGCTGTGTGAGCTTGGGCAAGTCCCTTACATTTCATCATCTGCAAAAAGGGATTGAAATGCTCGTACTCTTTTCCCCATAGTTCTTGGGAGGAAAGGTCATTATAAGTCATAAAGCCCTATGGATGACCTAACACTATTAACATTCCTGGCAATACTGGCTTAGCCTAGTTCAAGGTACAGGATGTACCCACAGAATGAAAACAGATGTGGACATGGTGCTGTGAACTTCACATGCTTTCACTTGTGCCAACCAATCACTTGGGAGATGGGGACTATGGGTACTATCGCCATCATCATCATCATCATCATCATCACCATCATCATCATCATCACCATCATCATCATCATCACCATCATCACCATCACCATCATCATCATCATCATCATCATCATCATCATCACCATCATCACCATCACCATCACCATCATCATCATCATCACCATCATCATCATCATCATCACCATCATCATCATCATCATCATCATCATCATCATCATCATCATCATCATCACTTTACATATGAGGAAATCAAAGCTCAGAAAGGTTCCCATGACCTTCACCCAGCTAGGAAGTTGAAGAGGCAGGATCTGAACATAGAGTTTACCCCTTTAGCCATGATCTTCCTCATCCTTCCATACCAGCGTCCACTGGCACGGGCATCCCACAGCGGATAGAATTATCTAGGTAGCGATGCTGTTGCTGACCAAATGGACGGTTGAGAATGGAAATGAAGCCTCTTTGGGCTCAGCGCATGCTCTTCTCTCATTTTCCGCTGTCCTGCAAGGACAGAGGTGCACAGCGGCTCTTCCTTACCTTATGTCACTACCTCCTAAGGAAGATTTCCCCAAGCTGCTCAGAATGGAGATGTGGCTTTTGTGGGAAGCAAAACCAAGGTTTTCCTGCCTGTTAATAACATTCAGCCTCTCTGCTATATCCCTGCAAAGATGACTTCAAAGGAAGTCCGCTACCCTGCCAGAAGGCATCTTGGTTTTCTGCATTAGCTACTAAAATAGTCACACTTCTGATCATAGGTAAGCAAGATGGTCAGATTCTGAAGCAATCCTTCAGAGACTGTGCCAAGAGAGTGGGAGATTGGGGGATGGACAGAGGTATATATAGTAAGGGAGAATGTATGGCTGGGAAACAATAGCATCAAAATATGTGGTCAAAAGAGGGCAAAATTTGAAGTCAAAGGACCTGGGTTTAAATCCTGGCTCAGTGACTTCTAGGAACAAGTAGGTGGTACAGTGGATAGAATGCTGAGAAGTATGCCTGGAGTCAGGAGGACCTGAGTTCAAATCCAGCCTCGGACACTTACTAACTATGAGACCCTGGTCAAGTCACTTAAATGCTACTTGCCTCAGTTTTCTCATCCATCAAATGGGGACAGCACCTACTTCCCAGGGTTGTTGTGAGGATCAAATGAAATAGTAGTTGTAAAGCCTTTAGCACAGTGCCTGGAACACAGTCAGCACTATATAAATGTTAGTTCTGCCGATGATGACCATTATCGTTGGATTATTATTGCATGGCAATTTTGCCTCTAGGCCTCTGTCTCCCTGTCTGTAAGATAAGGAGGTTCAACCCCATGACTCCCAAGGTCTCATCCAACTCCAAGCCTCTGATTCTACAAAACGAATCTCACATGCACTGATAAGTGCTCAAGAGGGACATTCAGAAACCCCATCATGTTCATGTAAAATAGCAAGGCAAATCTCTCAGAACACCTCCCCATTTCAGTGAGGGAAGACAGCAGGACACCTTCCTTTCATTAACAGTCCCAGATGACTTGCCATTCTACTTTGGAGGAAAAGGATAGTGTGGGGAGAGCCCAATGATGTTGTCTTCCTGACTAGGCCTTAGATCTAGAACCCTGCAGACTGTCAGTGGTGAGGCAGGCCAAAGCATGACAGTACCAGGAAATGATATCTCCAGAAATTACTCCACCTGGGATTTCAAACCTCCAAGTTGTGCATCAAAAAGCATTCCTCCTCATGTTCCCAATTGGGCCCCTGCTGAGTATAAATAATGGATGGAATCATCTGTGCTCCATAAGGAAGTCAGGCCATCCCACCAAACCCTGCCTTGGAGACTGGGGCACCCAAACAAAGGTTTTTGTTTGCTTGGCCAGAGCTCCTGAAATAAGACACCAGAGGACTATGGTGGCATCAGCTCATAAGCAGAGGTGTAGACAAAGATGCAGAGGTGGGTCAGAGGATGCTAAGATTGTAGCTTTAGAACTAGAAGCAACCTTAGAGGCCATTGAGTGCATTCTGTAGGTGAAGAAACTGAGGCAGAGAGTTCAATGGCTTACTTCAGGTCACACAACTGGTAAATGTCTGAAGTGGGTTAGTAGAACCACCCAATATATTAGCACTATATTAGGAGTAGCAAGGAGCTGGAAACAAAGTAAATGCCCATAGACTGGAAAATGACTAAACAGATTATGGTACATGAATGTAATGGGATATTACTGTACTATAAGAAACAATGATCATGATGAATACAGAAAAGTACAGGAAGATTCACATGAACTGATGCAAAGTGAAATAGATAGAACCAAAAAAAAAACCCAATATACCTATAATGGCTATTAGCAATTTAAAGAAAAGAACAATAAAACCGTTGAAATTGACTGCTATTAAATTGTAATGCTCAAACTTGACCTCAAAGAAGAGATCTAAGAAGACATCTTCCTTCCTTCTTTGCAGATATAGGAGGCTAAGGACATGAAGCACTGCAGGGAATGTGGGCTTTTTCTATGTGTTGGTTATTCTTATTAAAGTAGATTTTTTAAATCTTTTTTTATTCTGTTATAGGGAATGGCTCTCTGGGAGAGAGGGATACACTGAAAAAGTAAGTGATATAAAACCAAAAGCTTTTAATAAAATCCATTACACAATTTTTTAAAATCTCCCAGACAATTTTCATCACTCACTTATGACAAACTTTATCAGTTTAGTGGTAAGTGGGGCCTTAGAGATCATCTAGTTGTAGCTCTTCCTTTAACAGAGAGATTAAATGCCTCGGCCAAGGTCACACAGGTAGGGAACAGTCCAATGAGGGTTGGAACCTGCCGCCTAATTCCAAATTGAGTGTGTTCTACCTGGTTCTCTCCTGCTCTCCTTTACTTGGTAAGGCTCTTATCCCGTAAGTTCTCAGCCCCAAACACACAGTCCTCCTCTCAGTATCACTCGACATCTTACCTGACGTGAGAAGAAAGATCCCGCCAAATTTATAAAGTCGCGCGTTGACAAAGGGCGCCCCACACACCAGCAGGAATACCCCCACCAGGCTGGCAGTAACACCTAGCACGATGAAAACCGTCCAGAACCCTCGGTACACTAGACGAATGAGAGAAGAGCATGACATAATTGAGAAAGTACCATGAGTACAGCAGAAGGCCATGGCCACTTACCAAACCAGACTTGAGCTCCAGCAGTGATATGGCCATAGGTACAGAGTAGGCAGCAGCTCAGTATGAATCAGATGTTTGCCCACACAGGATTAATGTGTCTCTGCCCCTCCAATTTGCTTTACCTTCCTTCCTTCTCCCATAGCCAAATGAGTCTGGATTGCATTAGTGCTTTGGTGTTATCCTGATGACATAGTTTTCCAAACTCACTGCATATACACTAGAAGGGGACTGCCCAACCCTGAGAAGTTATTTCACTGGACTCAATCCATAACAAGTGATTCTGAGGACTCAGCAATGGCTTCCCCAGAAAGAGATTCCCTTCTCGAGTAATAATTGCACCTTTCATTTGAAAATCGTTTCAAACCCTAACCCCAAGGATCCGAAGCAGAATGGAGCACTGAGGATGCCTCCTCAAATGACTTTGCTTTTCAGGAGCCTGAATCACCAGCACAGGCCTTTCCAGACACAGTGGCGAACAGGGTGTTCTACCTCTCCGACTCATCGTCACTGAGATCACAAGCTGCTCTAGAATTCTTTTCCTTTTCTGTCTTTACCAAGCATCTGGACCAGAAGTTGGGGAATATGTTTCAAAGCAAGCACTGATCGCTGCACATGGACAGATGGTTTCAAGGACAGTTCAAGTCCACTTATGGCCAGGGCTAACACTGAATCAATCATAAACATCACGACGTTCTGGGTTAGGATATCCTATGATACGTTGGCAAAGCACTTTGCCATCCCTTATCTCATGGGAGGAAAGTACTTTCTTATCCCTAAAAAGAGTGAACCCTTCTTTCCCATCCTGAACCAAGGCCTCAGTGATTGATTTCATGTTAGGTGCCAGCCTATCTTTCTAGAATGATTTCCCATTACTTCCCCTCATACAAACTGGCCTCCATGCTATCCCCTGTACCTGACACTCTGTGCCTCTGGGTCCTGCCCCTGGACCTCTGTGCAGATTGTTCCCTTTGCCTGAAAACTACTCTGCTCATTTTGGCCTCTGGGAATCCCTAGCTCTCTACAAGGCTCAATTCCACTGCTACCTCTTAGACAAAGCCTTTCCTGAGCCGTGTGTGTGTGTGTGTGTGTGTCCCCACAACTACTCCACCAGAAAGGGCCACTCAGTATGGTCCACTTGTTGGCCATTGGACAAGGACCTCACATTTTTGTTCTTGTAAATAGGATTCTTCTTGGTATCTTTTCTGCTTGCTCCCACCTCAAGCACAATTCATGACGTCTAAGGGAAAGTATGCTGCATTCCACATACTCTAGTTGATCTGAGACCTCATCAATGTGGATACTCCTTCCAGTGACACAAATCATGCCCCAGTCATACCTGCTCATCCTTTACAACACTTGTCCATGTCTTTCTATAAATCCTCAAGACAGAGCCAATCCAGCATAACTTACTTATTGGTCTTCAGACAAAGATCTCACATTTAGAACACCAAAATCTAACTGAATGGTTATAGGTGGCCTCAAGATTGTGAGATTCACAGTCCTCTCTATCCTACACAAAGTCCTGGCTCTGGCAACTTCAAACATATTAGAAAGGCCTTAAGTGCAGTTCCAGCAGCACATTGATTCTGCTTTCCAAGGCTCCACCTAGCTTAGCCTACTTAAGTACAGAGAGACTCATCACCAGTAGGCCAGCCACTTGGGGATGAATCCTGTCTGTGGAAATTTATGAAATAATAAAAACTACAAAACTGCCCTGAATCTGGAGCCACGAGGATGGCAGAGTGAGAGTACTAGGGACAGGGGGAGGACGTTAATCTTCCATATAGAAAGGAAAATCTCTAGCATCCATTTAAGTAGGGAAGGGTTTGGAATAATTTTCCCCATGACAGGAATGAGTTCACATACTTGCTGACACATATCTTCTAGGTGGCTAGAGGAATTCAGGTCCACAAAGCAAAGCCAACTGGCCTGTACAAGGATCCAAATGACAACTTTGGTTTGGTAACTCTGTATGCCAGCCCATTGAGACAACAGGCTTTGGACCATGTCTCGTGTATGACATATTTCTGTTCTGTGTCTACAATGGCATAAAGCAAGACGAGACTGAGTACAAAGGTCAGGTTGGAGGGGAGAAGGAAACACAAGGCCTAAGCATACTTTTCCAAACTCACCTGCAGTCGCATCATAAGAAGGGTGTGGTAAAGGTCCCAGAGCAATGGGCATAGGAAAGAGATAACCGGGGCGGCAGTGCTTGGTACGAGGTTGGTTAGCTACAAAAGGAAAAATAAAAACTGATTAGAATCTAATGAGCACCCAAACCAACAAACTTTAAGTTTCTGCAAATTACACATTTAACAACGGACAAAACAGATAAAAATAATTAGGACCTGACTATAGAGGCAGTGGAAGGATAGTGGAGAGTGCCCTGGGCTTGGAGTCAGGAAGGCCTGGATTCGAATCATACCTCTGACACTTACTGAGCAAATCACACCCTCTATGTGTCTCAGGCAACTCTGCAGAACTATCTACTGTGTCATAGACCCGTGTAATCTGCATTGGTGGAGGAAGTTCCCACATCCAGAGCTCCTTTTGCACATTTGTGCAATTAGAAGCTGGAAAGACACTGCAGGGTTGGGATTCATGCAGTCACCTTGATTACACATCCTCACGGAGGGAAGGAAGCAATGACATTGAGGCTCAGAAGGAAACGGCCTCCAAAGAAGTCCCCAAAGCTGGCACTCCAGATTGGCCATGAAGTATAATGGGACATGTTCACAGTTTCTGTATCTTCCAACTCAAGAGATAAGAGTGTGCCATGGCACACTCCGAAATAGCATCCATAATAGCGTCACGTGTGCCAAACCATCTGGAAGGGAACTGAGTCACTGGCTGCTCTGGGGAATGGCCAGTGTCTGCAGCCATGAGGAGGGACATGAGCACCAGAAAAGTGCTGAGTGATTAATGAGACTGCTGCAATTAGACATTGACAAGAGGCCGCTTCTTTTCCAATGTTCCCTAGTTAAGAGGAGCAGAGCATAATAAGGGCACACTTGTTCCTACCCAAATGCCTCTGGAACTCTTATTGAATTGATTATCATTAGGACAAGGGGATCAAAATAATTGGACCTAATCTGCTTCTATTCTAATCAATGCCAAAGAAGGGAATGAGGATCTGTCAGTCTCTAGTGAAGTGTGCAATGAAAAACATGGAGTGTGCGGGCTGCCTTCTCCTCTTAGTATGCCTCTGCACGTGCCCGGCTCTGACACCCACCTGAAAAGGAGGCTCTCAGGCCGTCAGGCCCTCACACAGGAAACACTTCCATCAGCAGCACTGTAATTGTCCTCCTCACCCTCATTTGAAGCTGAATTCCTCCTTGATGCCTCCTTCTCCACACCCCCAAAAGGTTTCAAGCCCTTGGAGTCTTCCTAAAGGCTTTTGCATTTGGCCCCTGCTGCTAACCGGTCTCTCAGTCTCTCCTTCCACCCCACCCCCACCCCTTGGCAGGTTAATCTTCCTAAAATGTCCCTTTCATCAGGTCATGCCCCTGATCAGGCCTCAAGGTCACATCACAGAAAGGCACATTGAAAGAAGTGGGGATATTTAATCTGGAGAAGAGAAGGCCTAGAGGACATGATAGATATCTTCAAGTATGTGAAGGGCAGTCATGGGGATTATGGTCTAGACTGGTTTGGTTTGGCCCTAGAAAACAGAATGAGGAGTGATGGGTAGAAACACAAAGAAGCCAAATTACAGTTGAGTGCCAAAAGCAATGGGCCACCTTGAAAGACAATAGGTATTCCTCTACTTTGGAGGTTTTCCAATAAAGACTGAATGACCACTTATCAAGGGCATTGTGGGCATTCTGTTTCAGAAATGGATTGGATTAGAAGGACTCCAAAGCCTCTTTTAACTCTGAAATTCTGTGATTCTGCTTAAAAGCCTTCACTGGATCCCTAGGACCTACAAGATAAAGTCTCATTCATTAGCCTGGCATTCAAGGCTCTCCACAGTTTGGTCCCAACTTACCATTCCAACCTAATATCCTATTACTCCCTAATATAAAGTCACTGCTTCACTTGGACAGGTCCTCCAAACACCTTGGTATCTTTTCTCATGCCCTGGAATTCAACTCAATTCAACATACATTTGTTTAAATGCCTCCTTTGAGCAAAGTCCTGTCCTGGAACATCCCCCTGTCCACTCTTCAGGCTCATTTTCTATTCCACCATCCTCCTTCCTAAGTCCTCCTGAGAAATTCCGTAAATCTTACCTCCTACACAAATCATCACTGTCCAGCATTGCCTCTGATATCCCCATCTTGGATTGCTGACCTTTTTGTCCATTCACAGCTTGGATCCAAACTAGACTGCGAGTGGTTTATGCTCCTTAGGCTCCCCCGTATTTCCCACGACGCCTAGCGGAAGGCTGGCCACATAATAGTTAATAAATATCGGGGGACCATAGGCTTAGGGTGAGAAGGTACTTCATTTTCCAGATGAGGAAAATGAGGCCCAGACTTGGGGGGACTTAGACTCTACATGTCCCAAACTGAACACCTTATCTCCCCACCCAATCCACCCCTCTTCCAAACTTCCCTCTGACTGGCGCCATCTTCCCAGGCACCTAGATTTGCAACCTAGGTGTCATCTTTGACCCCTCCCTTGCACTTACCCCATCTAGTAAGCTAGTTGCCAAATCTTCTCCCTTCTCCCATCAGAACATCACTCACATACTTCCCCTTCTGGCCACCATTCAAGTTCAGGATCTCATCTCTGCTTACCTGCACTATTAGAATGACTTTCTGTTGGTCTCTTTGCCCCAACCCTCCCCCACTCCCCCAATCCATCTTCCACTCAGTGGCCAAAGTGATTTGGCCAGACCAAAGATCTGAGCAGGCCATTCCTCAGGTTGCCAAACTCCACTGATTCCCTTTCTTCTAAGATCAAATATAAACTTCTCTGTTACTTAAATTGCTCAAACTTTGCCTCTTTCTCCCATTGCAGTCTTCTTTCACATTATACCCCTCCATTCACATCCAGGCAAACTGGCATACTATTCTTCGCATACAACATCCCATCTCCCACCTCTGCACCTTTCCCTTTACTGTCCCCCATGACTGGAATGCTCTCCTTCCTCACCTTGGCCTCTTTGAATTCCTGGCTTCCTTCAAGATTCAGCTCAAAGGCCGCCTCTGTGGGATTAACCAGTAGACACTGGGTATCTACTCTGTACATATCTTATATGTACCTGTTTATATACAAGCTGGCTTCCTCATTTGAATGTAAGCTCCTTGAGGGCAGGAACTATTTTTTTTTCTTTTTCCCCAGTGATTAGCACAAGTATTCTTAACCTTTTTTGTGCCATGAATCCCTTTGGCAGTTTGGTGAAGCCTAAGGACCCCTTCTCAGAATAATGTTCTTAAATGTATAAAATAAAATGCATAGAATTACAAAGAAAACCAATTATATTGAAATAAAGATGTACTTTTTTCCCAAGTTCATGAACCCTCTGAACTGTCCACAGAGCAAGGTGTCCATCAACCCCAGCTTAAGAAACATTGGCTTAGCCCAATGCCTGGCACACAGTAAGTGTTGATAAATACTTACTGGTCAATTAATGGACGAATGAGTTTTATAGGTTATAGAATCATTAATCTGGAGATAGAAGGGGTCTTAGAGGTCATCTAGTGCAACCCACTCATTTGACCATTGATGGAACTGAGACCAATAGAGATTAAGTGACTTGCCCAAAGATCACACGGGTAGTGAATAGCCAAGCCAGAATTTGACCTTCTGATGAATTCAAATGGCCACAGGCCTTCTGTAGAAACCAGTGAATGAAAACAGAAAGTGGTATCCTCTGAGCACAGGCCTCTTAGAACTCAGGCTCAGCACCTTGTATTCACTACCCTCCAATTTATAATCCCCATATGCCAAAGCTTCCCAGAAGCCATGAGCAAGTCTCTCTCAGTTGCACTCACTGAACCAGAATTTCCAGACGTTCCCATGGGTGCCCTCTCCTGAGAACCAGCACCTCCAGAAGAAGCCTTCATGGTGGAATGTGAGGACACCTCTCGAGGAGTCTCCGAAAACACCTTCCTACAAGAAACAAAGCATGGCAACATTTGAAGCTGTGGTCCTACCACTGGAAAAGTCCAGCTTGGACGTGGAGTTCTCACACTAGTTGGAAGTCTGCCTTAGCTTTCCAGGAAGTTGGAAGCAAACTAAATGCACAGGACTGGGCCCAGGGTGCACCCTGATTCAAAGGATCTAGAGTTAGAAGGGCCTTGAGAAATCACCCAGTCATTTTACGAATGAGGAGACGAAGGCTCAGAGAGGGAAGTAATATTCTCAAGGCCCCAGAGCTAATAAGTAAAGAACAGAACCAAGATTTAAACCCAGGTCTTCTGACAACAGAGTGCACTGATGTCAACTAGTTCAGGGCCTCCAAGCATCCTCACTGCGCCCTCTGCTGGTTAGTTGTTTTATAGGTGACAGAGACAAAGGTGAGGGCACTGGAGAAGGCCCACCTAGCAAATGAGCAGATGTCACTAAGCTGGGAGGGCCAGCTAACACATGGGACGACAGATGAGATCCGAAAGGATCTTGACATTCTAGAACAATGGGAGAGAGCAAATAGGGTAAAAATTAAAAGGGATAGAGAGTCTTACATTTGGACCGAAAAACAATCAGCTCTACAAGTACAACCCGGGGGAGGTATGGCTAGACACCAGCTTGCCTGAAAATTCTCTGGAGATGCTAACGAAGTGCAAGTTCAATAAGTCAGTAGTACACCATGGCAGTCCCCAAGCCTACATTTGGAGACCTGCGGTGGCCAGGCCCAGGGAGCCAACAGCCCTACCCTGGACCAGGTGTAGTCTTTGGAGTACTGCCTTTGGAGAAGGACATCGATAAGCTAGAGGGGGTCCAGATGATGACAAGAAGGATCAGAAATGACCCTGGGGTCATGACATATGAGGATCCAGTGAAGGAACATGGAGATGTGGGGTGCATAGCCTGGAGGAGAAAAGACCTGGGGAGGAGGCAAGGGGGGAAAGGGGCAGGAAGCTATCAAACCTGTTGTTGTATGGAAGAAGGAATAGACTCCTTCTACTCGGCCCCAGAAGGCAGAACTAGGGCAGTTGTGGGAGGAAGTCAGAGAAAAAGTCCCTAAGAATTGGAGCTGCCCCAAAGTGGAGAGGGCTGCCTCAGGAGACAGTGGCGACTCCCTCATTAAAGGTCTTCAAGCAAAAGCTGGATGCCCACTTATTGGGGATAGATGTTGGAGATGGGAATGCTTTGGCCTAGGTGGCCCCCAGATTCCCTCCAATTCTGAGATTCTGTGACTACAAATCAAGAAATACTTGTCAATTGACTAATTGACAGAGACCTAAATACGATGTGGGAGTTATAAACACTACTTAATTACAGACAAGAATAAGTGCAATCCCACCAATGGTTTAACTCCTGGTTAAAAAATGGTTAAACTCCCGGGAAATTTAAAAAAAAAACAATTCCCTAAAATACTCTGTTCCCAAACTGGGATGTTAGTTTGTTTGAATATCTTTCCCATTATCAACTCAGATTTATATATTTTTTCTTACAGCTGTATCAGAAAACCATTTGGACACAAGCTTTCAGTTTAACTAACCACAATGCTCCAGTCCTACTTAATAAACATCTTGCAAACCTCTGTGAAACCATCTGTCCCACTATGTCTCTTCGGTTGTCCAATGGGCAGAGATCCAGGATTCCCCTGGTCTCTTGATGTACCGTCCTCATCGTTTGGGCAGAATGGTTCCAGGTGAGTCTGATGCATGGAAAAATGGGCCACCAGTGTGGATTGGCAGCTTGTTTTTCCAAGTTCCTTGGCTAGGATGGCAGTGGCTGAATAAAAGGCTGGATTATAAAATACAGTCAAACTTCATTAATTGCGAGGGACTAGGAGGGAGGTGAGACTGGATTAGTGTCAACCTTAAATTACGGATTTATTTTTCATTAAATGAAGTTTAATTATTGTATTTGCCTAGATACTGGCCTCTCTTAAAAACAGGCTGTACACCCAAAATGAGATCTCTTTAAAAGAAAAAAGAGATATAGACATTGAAAAATACCATGGATAGTAGGCAACAATCAGGTTTTATACAAGATAGATGTGGGGGGAAAGTACAGCCTATATTTGAACAAATATGGTACATACGTATTGTGTTCCATAAGGATACATATTAAGTTCAGAGACTAAGAATATTCCCCAACAGAGGATTCTGCCACTCTGTATAGATTCCCTGGAATGCCTCCTGGACTACACTGACAGTCCCCAGCTAGAGACCAGGGAGAGATATCCTTTCGTGGTGTTGTGTTTAGTATTGTGATCCAAGTTTTGCCAGGAAAGCCCAACCTCCCCACATCCTCTGTTTCCAAATACCTTCCCTACTGGGTTTGCTTTTACCTGAAATTCTACAATTACAGAGGCATCAGATGGCAGAAAGATCCCAATGGCGGGGAAAAGGGAAACAGAGACAGCAGAGACAGTGGTTTTGACTGCCAGTTTCTCTGAGGACCAAGTCTATGACACTTCTGTGTCAGTAAGCTCCCTTTTCCACTGAGTAAGAGCAGACAGCTCCTGTACTCACAACTAAGGAAGAAAACGGTGCCATTCAGGTGGCCCATACAGATATGTACCCCAAATATATATGACAGTAGCCTTGACTTTGGTTGTTGTTAACCCAGACCCATAATTTCATCACTGTGGTCACCTCCTGGTGTGAAGCTTCAGATGACAGTGAGAATGTGCCAGTGGCGGGTCTCAAACCCAGTCCCCACTGACTCTGAGATCTCCTCCGATGCCCTGCTGCCTTTCTGACCATGCCTTAGAACACCATTAAACATGAGCACCATGGCACTGTTGAGATAAAGCTATGAGTCTGCATCTGAGCTCAACAAACCAAACAAAGACTGCTTTCAGAGGTCTAGAGAGAGAAAGCTCTCCCTCAGAGTTTAATTCTAGAAACCATTTCCTTAGTGAATGAATGGAATGTTTGGATCCGTTTTTCTCTGTAAGCCTTCCTGGACATTTACTTTGCCAAATTCCTCAAATGCATAAATCCCTGACCTATTGCTTAAGGTATATAGCTGAGGAGAAGCCAGGTGGTACAATGGTGAGGGGGCCAGCCTTGGAGGCAGCCTAACCTGACTTTAAGGCTTGCCTCTGACACAGACCAGTACTGTGGACCTGGCCAAGTCACCTACCTTCTCAATGCCCCCGTCAACTCTCTAAGACTGCAAATTGCAGACACATTGCCATTGTGTACAGTTGGAGAGAGTTTCCACACAAGGAGCTCCCTGTGCTGATGAAATCTCAGGTCTGGGCCAAAAATAATTTTGAAAATATGACATTTAGTTTGAAATAAGAAAGGGAATGAGAGCCCTAAACATTTGGAGAACCTAGACTACCATCTCCAAGTAAGTAAAATATCTCTCCTGACACTTCAACCTGCCACAATTTGCTGTTAAGCCACCAGGACCCTAGACCATTCAAAAGGGAGAGAGAACTTAGCTAACATCTAGGCCAACCCCCTTGTTTTACAGAGGGGGAAACTGAGGCTCATAAGAGACAAGTGACTTGGCCAAAGTTACATGCTAGGGAGCAGCGAAGCTGGGAGTAGAACCCAGATCCCCTGACTCCCAAGCAAGTCTACAAGTCCAGGACACGACTGGGCTTCTCTTTCCCTCTCAGGCCTCACTTGGGCTTCCCAATGGCAGTGTTTTTCAGTAGGTGCTTTGCCAATACCCAATAGTTTCAATCATTGCCAGGTGCTAAAAACACAAGTTAAAATGAAAAGCCTAACAGCCATCTTGTAGCATTTTTGTGGCAGTTTCCTCGGACCCAAATATCTTTCTTAGGCCATTAGAGGGAACCCCGGTGGCTTTTCATAACATTCATCTGATCACTGCTTACCATCTCAGTGTCCAGAGTTCCATTTTTAGATGCAAACTCTCCACAGGCCTCTGTTGCTAGTAGCCAGTACTCGGTTCCAAAGGCAACGAGGAACAGAAGAATGCCAATAACACCAACGATTCCCGCAACCAGGGCACCAATTCCAGTTTTCATGCTCGAATGAGTGGCTTTGCTGCTCCCTATGCCCCACAAGAGAAGCTCTGAAGTGACCAGCTGTCAGGGACTGCCCAGCATTGGGATACAGCGAGGAGGGGTCCTATTTTAAGACTCAGATGAATATCATTTTAGGATTGGTCCAAGTTGTGGAGAGCTCCAAGAGCAGTGCTATTAAAAGAAGATGACCTTGTTCAGCCAAGTCATTGGAGTATTAGCCAAAAGGTTCCACAAGTGTGGCCCAAAGAATCCAATGGTAAAAAAGGCATATTCATTTCCCAAATGAAGGCTGGCTCCCACACACCTTTACAGTCGGATTGTATATTATTCCCCTTCACGACCTCTACAATCCACACCTTTGCACAGGTGCGTTGAAGGCACTGCTTAAGTGTCTCTCCTAAATGCGAATGATCTTCCTTGATTTCCCCAACTGTTAATGCTTTCTACCTCCTGAAATGACTTTGTCCTGCCTTACATACACTGTAGTGTATATTTACTCATCTGGACATGGGAATCCAGCTATCTCCCCCGATAGAATGCAATCTCACTGAAGGCAGGGACTGCTTGGATCTTGCTTTGTTTCCTTAGTACCTAGAACAGTGCCTTGCGAGTAGCAGGTGTTCAACGAATGCCCATTGAATTGAATTAGGTTAAATGAAGAAGACTAGATAAATGAGTGCTAGCGGCTTCTTTCATTCTACAAAGATCATTTGACAGCTAAATGAAGGATGGACTGGAGTGGGAAGCGACTTGAGGCAAGACAGACTAATGTGATGTACTGATGAAGAATATTACCCAAAAAAATTTTTTTTAAAAAGAGTATTACCCACCACTGCCAGATAGGTGATAGACTCTTTATGTGAAATGAGACAAACATTTTGGGAAATGACCAATGTGGGAATTTGTTTTCCTTGACTATGCATTTTGTTATAAAGATTTTGTTTTCCAGAGGGATGGGAGTGGGAAAGAGGAAAAATAAATGTTTGCTAATGGGGGGGGGAATGAATTACAAAAAGAAAAGCAGCAGCATGGAAAATACGGAAGCATCAAGATACAAGAATGATCAAGCACAAGAGAAAGGGAAACCCTGGGGGAATCCATTAGAAAATAGGATTGAGGGGCAGCTAGGTGGTGCAGTGAATAGAGCACCAGTCCTGGAGTCAGGAGGACCTGAGTTCAAATCCAACCTCAGACACATAACACTTACTAGCTGTGTGACCCTGGGCAAGTCACCTAACCTCCATTGCCTAGCCAAAAAAAAATAAAGTCTGGAGATCCAAAGGGATCCCAAAGACCCTTCCAGGAGTTTTGTGAGGTCAAAACTATTTCTATAAAAACACTAAGACATTTTAATTTCTAATATGGTAAATACTGATAAATGTAACCCACATTAACAAAAACTCTTGGGGGGGGGTCCTCAGTCATTTTTAAGAATGTAAAAAGAAAAAAAAGAATGTAAAAAAATCCCAAGACCAGAAAGTTTGAGAACTACTGCTCTAGACAATTCTCTAAGACAACAGTTGCAGACAAGGCACCAGCCCGCATTGGTAGAGAGAGTAGCCCCATCTGGGAGTTCCTTTTACTAACGAAATAAGAAGTCCAAGCCCTATCCCAAATATATCCAAGGCCAGGGCAGCAGGGAAGTGGAGGGAGGGGGGCAGGGACACAGAGAGTCACAATCCTTTGTTTCACAGACCTTACAGACTACTAGGGAAAATGAAACCTATCCATAAAACTGAAGACAAAACCAAACGGCCTGTGATCCAGGGTTGAATTGTATAGCACATATGGCACTTAGCTAGTGCAGAAACAGGAAAGACACAGATGAGGTCTGTGAAATAAGTTCCTTTATTGATTCAGGCAACAAGCATTTGTTGAATATTCATCCCTTGGTCACTAGGAACACATAGATGTTCCAGAATCCATCCAGAGAGAGTGATCAGGATGGAGAAGTGACTACTGACCATGCCATAGGAGGACTGGTTAAAGGAATCAGGGATGTTTAGCCTGGTGAAGAGGAAACTCAGGGGCCATATGACAGATGTCTCCATGTACTTAAAACCTATCTTGCAAAAGAGAAATTAGCCTTGTTCTCCTTGGCCCCTGAAGACAGAACCAAGAGCACTGGTTGGAGCCTGGGCCAAAAAGCCCATTTAGGCTTGATATCAGGAAAAATCTCCTGACCCTTAAGACAATCTCAAAGGAGAGGGAGTGAGCTGCCTAGGAAGGAAAATTCCCTCACCAGGCAGCTTCAGGAAAGGGTGCTTTTACATTCTTAGAAGGAATTGGCTGCTTGGAGAGACTATGATAGAGGCTCCAGGTTGCATGTAGATGGATGATCTGACACCTCTTCTAGCTTTGAGAGTCTATGATTTCTTATAACAACGATATAAGGAGAAGCAAATGAATCGTGACATCTGAATGGTCCAGACTAAGCACAGATAAGGCAGATCTTGATGGACTGGGCAACAGAGAAGGGGGCAATGGAAAGAGAGGGCATTCCTCCCCAGTCAGCTGCCCTTCAGCGATTTTTTCCCCCAACTGTTCCACCTGCTCATATCAGTGAAGGAATTCTCCCTTCCCAGAAGCCTGAGAGTCAGCTGCAAAAGCTACATGAAAAAGGAGATATGGCCCCAGATCACCATGGCTTGGCAGAGCTTGCCAGTAGGGTGTGTCCAAGAGGCCCAGGGAGGAGAGGGGATGGGTTTTCCATTCCTTGTCTAAAAGTTAACTCCCGTCAGCAAGCAGAGAGGGGCCTTCCCTGGGCACTGCCTCTTTAAGATTGGAGTTTCCCCACCAGAAGCTTCCCAATTAGCTGAGACCTCACCAGGCTCCAGGCTTTGCTGCTCTTGGGCCCAACACCTTGACTTTGCCACACAAAGCTGCGTCTATCAATGTGACACAAAGGCCCTGCCTTGGGTGGCTTGTGTTACTAGTTGAGCGTGCTCATCAGTCTTTATAAAAAGAAGCTGCATCAGTGACAAAGAGCTGGTGACTAAAATAAGATTGTCAGGATTGAGTAGCTGGCAGCCTGGGGAGAATTAGCCAGTCAGATCTGATTTCACTACACTTTTAAAGGCCAAGGCCAATTTCACTGATAAAGTTTGATGGTGACAGTTGAAGTTTCACATCCTAAATATTTAATATTATTCCTCTTCTAGAATGATCAGACTCTGACTTAGTTGCAAGAGGGACAATTTCCTCTTACCTGGTTTAGTAAAAAGAGCCCTGAATTTGGAGCATGAAGATCTGGGTTCCAATCCTCATTCTAATACTTACTAGCTCTGTGGCCTTGAGTAATTCACTGAACCTCTCTGTGCCTCAGTTGCCTCCTATGTAAAATGAACAAGTGGAGTACATACAGTAAATGGTCTCTAAGGACACTACTGGCCCTAAATCTATGATCCTACAAAAATTAATTTGTCAACTACTACTTGTGATGCGGACATGCCAAAAGGCCACTTGGAAGATAATTGCAATTTATCTGCCAACACCAGTTGGACAAAATATCAAAAAATGAAATGTACACTATCTTAGCAGATAGGAAATGACTGGTTATTGATGGGATGCTCAGTTGTGGATCAGTTGTCTTTCTACAGTCAGTCCCACTATCTACTAGTTAAAGAAAAAGTAAATAATTAACACCAGAGTAGAAGAAATGAAAAAGATGAGAAGATGCTACATAGAATTATAATAGCTCTAAGCCAAATTATCTAAATGAGTTGTTTACTCTTAAAAAAGGAGGAGGGTGAAAGTCAAGACACTGACTGGCTTCTTAGAGAAGTCAAAATGATGTAAAAGTGACTACAATGAGGAAGCCAAATGAACCCAGAAACCATCTTAACTAGCAAATGCTCAATCTTCTTACAAAGAGGAGAGGCATGGCAAACTGAAGCCATTCACCAAGAGCTCCCTCTTCTCCCCTCCTCTTCATCTCACATCACTCAGATCTCTTCCCCTACTATGTCCCCTTTTCCTTTATTTCACGTGAAGAAATAGCCCTTCTCTTTACCAAGGAGAGCCAATCTACAACAACCCTTGATCCCATTACATCTTATTTTCCCCAGTCGTTTGCCCCTCTATCAACCACACACTCTAACTAAATAATCATCAATTTCTCCCTATCTACTTGATGTTTCCCTGCTGCCTATAAGCAGTCTCATGTCTCCCACATCCTTAAACCCCTCACTTGAATATCCTTCCCTGCTAGGTATCATCCTATAGCTCTCCTTCCTTTTATGGCTAAAGTTCTTGATAAAACCATTTACAATTAGTGGCTCTATTTTCTATCCTCTCTATTCTAAGCTCTTTCTGCAGTATACCTTCTGACCCCATTATTCAAATATAACTGCTCTTTCCAAAGCTACCTATGATCTTTTACTTGCCAAATCTAATTGCCTTTTCTCAATCCTCACCCTTCTTGACAGAGCTTTCCACAGCCTGACCCTGTTGATCACTTTCTTCTCCTGGATGCTCTCTTCTCTCTAGGTTTTTTGAGGGTGATCTCTCCTCGTTCTTCTCCTACCTGTCTGACCACTCCTGTTTAGTATCCCTTGCTGGATCTTCATCCAGTTCACTCCGGATTACTACAGGTACTCTATGAATATTTGTCTTGGGCCCTCCTCTCTTCTCTTTCTATACAATCACATTTAGGGATGACATCAGTTTCTGTGGATTCAATTATCATCTCTATGCAGATGATTCTCAGATCCATTTATCCAACCCTAACCTTTCTCCTGACTTCTAGTCTCCCATCTGCAACTGCCTATTAGACATCTTGAACTAGAAGTCCCATAGGTATCAAACTCAATGTGTCCAAAATGGAATTCATTGTCTTTCTCCGAAGCCCTCCTCTCTTCCTAACTTCCCTGTTACTGTTGAGGGGACACCATCCTCCCAGTCACCCAGACTCACAACCTAAGTGTCATTCTCAACTCCTCACTCTCTGTCATGCCCTCCCACCATGTGAAATCATTTGCTTAATCTAGTCAATTCTACCT